CCAAAAATTATACCAATCAAACACAATTAATTACAATTTTCAATAAAACAATTTCTAGGTAAATCAATTTCATGTAAAACATTTTCTTTCCACCCATTTTCACGTTTCCAATCAAACGACCCTTGGTCTCACCTCCATCCCCACCCACACATCCCTTCTCCTATATAAACTCCTCCATAAACCAATTTTTCCTCTCTCTAGTCTGTCTCTAATCGATACATACGTACGTACATTCATACATAAATATAATCGTGTGTTCTGTCTTTGAATCACAATGAATTCAAATGGCCTGATCGTGAGTTTCGGCGAGATGCTAATCGACTTTGTGCCGACGGTCTCCGGCGTGTCGTTGGCGGATGCGCCGGGATTCTTGATAATAAATCCAACACACAATAGGATGAAGAAGGTGAAAACCTTAATTTCAGTTCACACATTTTACAATGGTAGTGATATACATTTATATGCATAAACCTATTCTATACATGGTAAATGAAAAAAGTGAATGGAAATGGAATGTATATGGAAATAAAATATTGGGGCTTGATTGCTGTGATTGCATCGTGATTTCTTCATTCTTGCTTACGTGTGCTGTAATATTATGTATGCTATAATACTCCCCCTCAAGTTGGAGCATGGAGATCCGTAATGCCCAACTTGGGCCAATAAAAGACAAATAATTCACGACCCAAGGGTTTAGTAAATATATCAGCCTGTTGTTGAGATGTAGGAACATGGAGGTAGTGATGAGACGAGACTTAATTTTCTCACGAACAAGATGACAATCCAATTCAATGTGTTTGGTTAGTTCATGGAAAACTGGGTTACGAGCAATATGGAGAGCAGCCTGATTGTCACAATGGAACAGAATAGGCTGTGGATGTAGCACGGTGAATTCTTGTAGAAGGAGATGAAGCCAGACAAGTTCACAGGTTGTAGTGGCCATCGCACGATATTCAGCTTCAGCAGAAGAACGAGAGACAGTAGTTTGTTTCTTAGTGCACCAAGAGATGGGGTTATAACCCAATTTGATGATGAAACCAGTTGTGGAATGTCGTGTGAGAGGACAACTGGCCCAATCAAAGTCACAGAAAGCAGATACCTGAAAACTGCAGGTAGATGAGAAGAAGAGACCATAACCAGGAGTTGTTTTCAAATAGCGGAGTAAAGGGTGAGCAGCATGAAGATGGGGTTGGCGAGGAGTGTGCATGAACTAACTCAAAATGTTGACAGCAAATGCTATATGCAAATGAGAGATAGTCAAATAGATCAGACGACCAACCAACCGGCGATATGAGCTAGGATCATCCAAAAGATCACCACCCGAGTCGGTAAGCTTACAATGTTGCTCCATGCGAAAATAGGCAGGACGAGGGCTGAACTGACCATATTCAGAGAGAATGTCCAAAATATATTTTCGTTGATTGATGAATATGCCTTTAGGGGATAGAGCAACTTCAATCCCTAGAAAATACTTGAGATCACCAAGGTCTTTGATTTTGAACGTCTGAGCAAGATGACATTTGATAGAGTTGATGGCAGAGACCAACAACTAGAATATTATCAACATATATGAGAACGGTAGTAAATATGGTACCCTTAGTTTGGGTGAAAAGACTAGGATCAGCTGCAGAGCGATGAAAACCAGCACGAAGGAGATTATGAGACAATTTCGAGTACCATTGACGCGAGGCTTGTTTGAGACCATAAAAAGATTTGTGGAGACGGCATACGCGGGTCTCCCCTTGACGACAATATCCTGGCGGTGGTCGCATATATACTTCCTCATCAAGATCACCATGGAGGAAAGCATTATGAACATTTAATTGTTGAATAATCCAATGTTTAGCTGCAGCAATAGAAAGGAGACAACGAACAGTAACAAGTTTAGCCACGGGAGCAAAGGTGTCATTATAATCAAGACCTTCTACCTGAGTAAAACCCTTGGCAATTAAACAAGCTTTATGACATTCAATGGAACCATCTGCATGCAATTTTGTTTTATAAACCCACTTGCAACCAATGGCCTTCTTACCAGGAGGAAGATGTTCAAAGGTCCGTGTGTGATTAGCTTCGAGGGCCTGAAGTTTATAGGCCATAGCCTTTTGCCAATGAGGCTCAAGAATGGCTTGAGAGTAATGAACAGGATCCTGAACATTTTTAGAGATAGAAGAGAGAAAACCAAAATGTTGTGGACTAAAGAAATGATAAGAAAGAAAATTAGGTAAAGAATGAACCGTACCTGAGAAATGCTGGAAATGAGATGATGAACGTGGCCCCCCTGAAGGTAGATCTGAGCAAACATAATCCTGAAGATATGCAGGCTGAGTGATTGTGCGGCGAGGTCTATTGGGATGAGGGTGAAATAGTGACAAGTTCTGAGTCGTTGGTGGTCCTATCATCATCTGCAAGTTGGTATGTGTTAAATTGAGGAATGAGGGAGTATCTTGCAAGGTGTGTGGTAATAAGGTGGAAGAGGGTGGCATGGTAGTAGCAAATGGAAAAATAGATTCTACAAAATGGAAATCATGAGATAGAAATATATTCTTGGTGTGCAAGTCATAAACACGATAGGTGTGTGGAGTCTGGGAGTAGCCTAAGAATATGCATGATGTGCCATGAGGAGAAAATTTATCCCGATGAGTGGTTAAAGTGTGTGCATAGCAAAGACATCCAAAAACACGAAGGTCGTCATAGGTAGGAGATTTGTTGAAAAGGAGGTCATAAGGGGTTTTGTCATTGAGAGAAGGAGTTGGTATGCGGTTAATTAAATAAGTAGCAGTAAGTATGCATTCACCCCAGAAGGAAATTGGTAAATGTGCATGAAAAAGAAGACATCGAGCCACATTTAACAAGTGGCGATGCTTTCGTTCAGCAACACCATTTTGTTGTGGTGTCTCAACACAAGTACGTTCATGAATGGTGCCATGATCAAGAAAAAATTGTTACATACGATGAGAGAGAAATTCTTGGCCATTATCAGATCGAATATGCTTGACAGGACACTTAAATTGTGTGTGGATCATTTTAATAAATGAGGTTAGACAAGTAAATGCATCACATTTGAAGCGCATTAAGTATACCCAAGTAACACGTGAAAAATCATCAACAATTGTGAGAAAATAGTGCTCACCAGTTGTGGAGGGTGTCGAATACCCACCTCAAATGTCACAAAAAATTCGATTAAAGATAAAAATACTTTTATTTTCGACCAGTTTGAAGGGGAGACGTGTTTGTTTGCCTCGAATACAACTGTCACAATTTTTGATTTTATTCGAACTACATAAAGATTTTGGAATGCAAGAATTTGAGGGATGACCTAAACGAAGGTGCCATAAATCTGGCACGGTTGTAGGGTTGGTCGTGATTTGAAAAACAGCTGGAGTTGAATGCTTGAAATGGTAGAGGCCACCACGTTCTTCACCCATTCCAATCAGCTTCCTCGTGAGTTGGACCTGAAATAAGCAAATAGAGGAAGAAAAAAGGACTGTACAATTGGATGATTAGGTCCTGAAAGAAGCAAATAGAGGGGGAAAAGACGACAATACAGTTGGATGATTTAGTAAGTTGACTAACTGAAATTAAATTAAACTAACTGAAATTAAATTATAATTGAAGTTGGGAACAAAAAGAACATTATAGAGACATAAATGAGGAGATATGTATAAGTGGTCCATATGTGTGACTTGGGCCTTGGAACCAGTGGGCAACATAATAGATTGTGAGTGGGCCCAAAAATATTGGGCTTTAGACCAATTAGAAAGGCAGGATATATGTGCAGAGGCCCCACTATCTATTATCCATGAAATTTGTGTGGGTGAAGAAGGTCTACCAGAGAAGGCCGAAAGTGCAATGGTGTTGGGCTGCAGTAGTTCCATCAATTGTTGATAATGCTCATTAGAAAGACCCGAAATTACACTCGAGGTAGGAGAATTTGAAGATGCCGACACCATGTTCGCTGTGGGTGCGTGAGAAATGGTCAGCCCGTGTGGGCGATTGCTGGTTGGGTGATTGCCGGCTGAAGAACGTCTAGGGCGAACTGTGTATCTTGTTTTATTTGTGGTCCAGTGAGTTGGGTAGCCAATTATCTCGAAGCAAGAATATTCTTGATGGCCCTCCCTCCCACATTTGGTGCACTTCTTACCATTGCGAGGGCGAAAGCCTTGATTTCCTTGATTGCCGGTTCGTAAGACAGCCATAGTAGTGGTTTCGAGGCTGGGCAGCAAGGGGATTTGTAGGAGTCATTGGGTTTCCTCTTGATGTATGGTGGCATATGCTTTAAAGGTTATAGAGAGGGGATCCATAGCTAGAATTTGGCTTCGGATATTGGAGAAGGAGTCGTTGAGTCCCATGAGAAATTGGAATAGCCGTTCGATATTGACTGATTCTTCCAATCGTTTGCGAGCATCGCAAATACAGAGGTTGGGCTCGGTTAGTGCTGTAATTTCATCCCATAGCCCTTTAATTGTGTTGTAGTAGGTGGTGACAGTCATGGTGTTTTGCTTGAGAGTAACCAAGTCACGTTGGAGACGGTAGAGGCGAGGATGGTTGCTTTGAGAGAAACGATTATCCAAATCTACCCAAATTTCAGAAGGTAGTGTGCAATAAATGAAACTCTGCCGAAGAGATTTATCAATCGAGTTTAATAGCCAAGAGAGAACCATATCGCTGCAACGATTCCATAGGTTGGCAATTTGTATGTCTGATGGTTTCTTTAGAGTACCTTCGTCAAAAACAAGTTTATTTTTAGCATTTAGAGCCATTCGCATGGACCGTTTCCAAGTGGGATAATTTTCTCCGGTAAGAAGGTCCAGCACCGGTATGGCACCGGGATTGTCAGCCGGAGTTAAGAAATATGGAGATGTAAGGTCATTGATTAATTGGGAAGGAGTGAAGGTTGTGGAGTCAGACATGATTCCTGGTGTTTTGATGTTAACAGAATTTAGAAGAGGTCACAGTGAAAGGATTGCTCTGATACCATAATAAATATAACACACAATAGGATGAAGAAGGTGAAAACCTTAATTCAGTTCACACATTTTACAATGGTAGTGATATACATTTATATGCATAAACCTATTCTATACATGGTAAATGAAAAACGTGAATGGAAATGGAATGTATATGGAAATAAAATATTGGGACTTGATTGCTGTGACTGTATCGTGATTTCTTGATTGCTGATTATGTGTGCTGTAATATTATTGTGCTGTAATACTTGAAGGCCCCCGGTGGAGCTCCGGCTAACGTGGCGATAGCGGTGGCGAGGCTTGGCGGAAAGGCTGCCCTCATTGACAAACTCGAAGAGGATGAGTTCGGTCACATGCATGCCGGTATTCTGAAGGAAAACGGCGTCTCCGCCTATGGAATCCCCTTTGATAAAGGAGCATGGACTGCCCTCGCTTTCGTCACCCTACGCGTCGACGAAGAGCGTGAGTTCATGTTCTACAGGAATCCCAGTGCTAACATGTTGCTCACTCCCGATGAATTGAATCTCGAACTCATTAGATCTGTAAGTGTCACCATCATCGAATTATATACATGTATACACAAAAATTGTATACACAAAAATAATAATAATATAAATTAGATTATTTGTTGGCTGATCTATTTTACTTTTATTATACGGATATTTCTTATGTTTGTTTATTTTTGAAACTTTTCTTAATCTTAGTCGACGTGAATAGTCATTGTGATCTTTATACAATTTTTTATTTGTTAATTTTGAATTATTTTGACTAATCAATTATTTTTGGTAAATTTTGGACTTATTACGGTTAATTTATTTAAGAGGAAATTGCAATAAATGTCATTTTTTGGCTTTACATTTTCAAAAATATCACTTTTTAAAGTCTTTGCAAGATTGTCATTTTTGGACATTTTTGCCTCTTTAGAGAATTTAAATACCCAACACATTCTTGAGTTGACAACTCCAAAAAAATTGTACAAAAAGTGGAAAATTTTGAAAATCAACCACCTCACAATTGCAGGGAAGGACATGGGGCCTAGAATTTGAATTTCTTTTTTTTTTTTTTAATATGAAATGAATTTCTAACACTCATTCTCATTGAATCATTTCTCCTCTCCTCTCCTCTCTGAGCTCTCTTCCGACTGGCCACACTCACGGCGCAGCAGTCTCCCGCACTTTCCGCCCGTCCTCTCTCCCACGACTGACGGCAGCCACTACAACAGAAACTCAGAGGCAATAGATATATATTCAGTCTCTCTCTCTCTCTCTCTCTCTCTCTCTCTCTCTCTCTTTTTATTACAAGTTCTATAAAATGATTAAACACTGGTAGATTGATAGATATATTGTTCCTGCATCATAGCTGTAAAAATGTAAATTTTCTTTTATTAGAATTTTTATAAATATGTTTGAATGTTCTTTAAGGTGTGTGTTTGTGTCTTGAACTTTTGGATTTGTTATTTAGCGAGAATTTTTTTCGAAATGAATTTGTGTGGAAATAATTTGATTTCATTAATATATGTATTTTTTTTAACTATTTTGGTTTCTATTATAGTCTTCTTTTGAAAGTTTTATTGTTTATTTTGACATTTGCTTTTCCTTAATCTCTCCTTTTGGATGAGATGTCAATTGTCAAAGCAAAGAGGGATTGCAAGTCACCTTTTTTGAAATAAATAAATAAATATTAATTTTGGAAGTATCTGTAGATTGCTTGTTGGAAGGGGTTGAAGAAAATTAACTCCATAAAATTTAATAAATTCGCCTTATACTTAACACAAAATTGACAAGTAAAATGTGAATTTTGATGAAATTTTGTAGGCATTGAATGGTATATATCTATTGCCTTTGAGGTTCTAATTTTCTGATGTATTGAACTTCACCGTTTCAGACAGTTCACCGCAGTAATTGTCAGCAGATGGAAAAATATCGACAGATGAACTGTCGAGACCTGACATTTGAGGTTGGCTTTTCTTGACACATTACAGTTCTACATGTCGAACATTGGTTCATTCGAACGTAATATATGAGTTTCGCATTAACATGTACGAAATATTGTGAACCACAATGTTTTCAATTATTTTTGTAGCTTTGTAATATACTGTTTCATGTTTTATGATTTTCGTATTACATGATATTCGTTTTCAATTATTCGTGTCATTTCATTTTATTTTGTTATATGATATTTGTTGAACAGTGGATCCTCGAACTTCTACATTTTGCTCCGGAATCCCACTTGTCGAAGTCGGCATCAAACTAACTATGTTTCTACACAAGAGGCTCCAGTTAGTCTACAGTTTTCTATTGAAATTGTCATAGTTGTGTTTTTTTCCATCTCTGCTCATCATGAAGGGGAAAAAAAAAAGCGCTAAAAATTGACTTCTATTTATCTTCTAAATTTGGCATTTTTCAATTTTGATTGTGCCCCACTAACTAAAAATGTATGTGTCTGCTACTGTAGATAAGGACTCGTGTTTGGGTAGCAGGCCAAGTAAGCGATTATATCTGTAAACAAGTTCAACTCATCACAGTCCAAGGTAAAAATACGAATCTGTTTTAAATTTTTTTGTATTGATTTTAAAGCAGTAGCAAAAAAAAAAGAAAAAAAGAATTGTATTGATTTTGATACCAAACTAACTTACTTGAATGAGCTTGGTGTTCTTGATAATCTGCAAAGAAGATATGGTCTGAATGAAATTTATGTGAGTTCCTTGGGAAGTATGTTCATTATTTAAATTTGGAAGTGTTCTTTAATTGATTACATTAATTAGCATTTTGCATCTACATGTTTTGAAACTAAGATAAGCTTGTCGGAAAGGAGAAAGCAATGTACAATCAGTAATTATTGTTGTACATTCTGCTAAATTTACTTACACATTTTCTTTTCTAGTACGGTGAGTTTAATTGCATTATTACAAGGATTGGGAAGAATTTGATTTTCTGTATTTACAAGATGAGTGTATTTATTAACTCATCTTGTGCTTCTTCATTTGGTTATTATGGAATTTACTTATTTCATTTGAAAACAAAGGGATAAAAACAGATGCACAACAAAAATGAAATCAAGAAATTTAAAATTATGAAAATTACAATTTAACGTTAGTTCTGATTTTGATGTTCTCACAAAGTTAAACTCTTAAAGCATGAGTTAAAGTGATGGAAATTATGTAAGTTCTTAGTGAAGGGATTTACTATTTATATGAGATGGGATAAAGTTGAATTATGATATAACCTTTCTTATATATTCATTAATTGAGTTTACTGTCTTTCCTTTTTCATTATTCTTCAATTTTCTGCATTTTCTCGTTAAATCTGTGTGCAAATGACTACTTGACTTCGAAAATCCTAGTAACACAAGTAAAAGAGGATAATGTTAAAAGTTTAACTTCGTGAACTGTAGTAAGAATCCACATTTGTGGTTGCTGTTTACAGTGAAGCGATTTGGATATCTAGTGGTTGAAGATCATTCGAAATGCTCCTAGCGGACATAGATTTCTGATTAAACGACTACAAACTGGTAATCCAACGTTCTTCCCCTTCATCTCTGGTTAAATAAGTTGTAACATTGATAACCCCTATAATTGTTTATTTCTCTCATTGTGATTTAGAACTTATGGTTTGCAATTTGAAATTCGTAATTTTAGATTCTGAATTTCAAGAGTGTACTGAATTTTTATTGGGTAGAGTGTAGAGGTTGTCGGACCAATATACAGGATAGAGCTAATATTAGCCAAACGAGCTGCATCTAATGAACTTAATTTCATATTATATTAGAATTTTATAATTCCATAAATAAACTTGTGTTACTATTATGTCTTTGAAGACCTTATTCTTCATCTGAGCATAATATGTGTATTTCCCGTTAACATGTACGAAATATTGTGCACCACAATTTTTTCATTTGTTTTCATGCGTTGTAATATATTTTTTCGTATGTTCTGATTTTCGTACTACTGTTGATATTCGTTTTATTTCCTTATATGATATTCGTATTATTTCATTAAATTGTGTTTCGTAATTTGTTGTTGTACCTTGGCATCAACATGCACCGCATATCACGATCCCAATTTTTTTTTTTTCATTTTCTCGCTGTACCCTATAGAAGAGATGGATTTTAAATTTCTGGTCCCGAAAAATGCAAGGTTGCAGGCCCGTTCAACCTGAATGATCATTCGCCATTACCCAATTCGTTCCCCGTTATGTCCCATCATAATTTCTTCAGACAATGAGGATGTCAAGCCTTCAAATGGTAAGAGAGCCATTTTCCCTTTTCCTTTTCCTTTTCCTTTTCCCAACCTAGACGAAGTTGCAAGTGAAGCATCATAGTCATCGAAAATTGTACTAAATGAGGGGTTCCAGTACACGCTTCGATACGAAGATGAATATGATGATGGTGATGATGAGTGGTTGGCGAATGTTGCACCTCCTGAGATAATTGTTATAAGTTGGGATGATTCTGATGAAGACAGTGGGAGAGAAAATTCAAACGTCGACAACAAATGAGGTGGGAGGTAGTTGCATATGGTTGTGTACAAATGAATAAGTGCCAAATTCTTTTGTATGCACTTTTGTCAGGAATGATTTTAGTAACAGTCTTTACCAAAGAATCAACGTCAGCATGTCCCTTACGCCTCGTATGTGTAGTTACAGTTTGTAGTCTGTGCCAACTGTCGAGAACAACAGAAATAATCTGTCGGGAACAACGGATGAACTATCGGGTTGTCAAGTAGTATTATGTATTGAATCTATATTTTAGTTGTGAATGCAAACATGTCTACTAATGTCTGCAAACGATATTGGATTTCAAACGATAATGTAAGTTGGAAATAATAATGCAAGTACAAAACGATAAAATGCTAACATAACGAGCAATAACGTCTGCAAACGATAATAAAAAGAAAACGATAACATAACTTCAGATTGTACATCGCCATTGGGGAATATTTAACATACTACTTCAACGATTGTCGAAGATGAAACCTATTTACGTTGGTTGTGTTACAGTGGGGTGCGAACATGTTGTCCGGTTACAACCCACTCTACGCAGCGAATGCATTTCCTGAGTTGTGTGGTAGATTCATATCTGGATCGATTATGTCGTGTGGGTAGTCTATTCGAATTCGAAACTTTGAACTTCAATTTAATTTGAGTGTGGGGATCAAGAATACCAAGTTTGTTCTTCACATATCTAAACCGACTATTTCAACAGAACTATTCGACAGATGAATTGTAGGAACTATCAGGAAACTTGAAAACATGTATTTGGTACATTTGAACAAATTATTGAAAATATTAATGGTGATAATCAATTTTCAATTACAACATAAAAATATTTTCCCATTAATAAATAACTCATTGTTTCATTAAATATGGAATCCTTCATTTTTGTACAGGATATTGGTATTTTTATCCTTCAAAAATAGTTCAAAAACCAAACAAATCAATGAATAATAATTTCAAAATTTTTTTCCATTACATTTGACCATATTATACTTAACATCTAAAAAATAGTAATCTATGAAGATAAAATTATAAACAATTTGTAATGGTTAACCTCTCAAAATGGATGATGAATTTAATAGTAATGTGTTCTTGATCAAGAAATGAAGCAGATGGAGAAGAAGTTATAGTTTGTTAATGGAAAGAAGATGTGTGGTTATGTTAATATTTCAAATTCTTTTATCTTTTTTTTTACAAAATTTATGTTACTCAATATAATATACCTATAAACAATTTTTATAATATTTAAATTAAATCATCACATCATAACATTAATTACATTCAAATCAAACATTAAATGCTCCTAAAAGGTGTTATTAAAGGTAATTTGGACATTTTGCACAAGAAAGTGACATTTTTGCTCACAAAAAGTGAAAATGACATTTTTTTTTTAATTTTCAAATTTAGTGACATTTATGAAAATTCCTTTTAATTTAATGTGGAGTCCACGAGTTGGTTGGTGAAATCAAGAAAATTTCATTTCATAATTTGAAAAAAAAAAAATTAGTTTCTTGATAACTCTTTTGTGAGGTGTACATCTGGATGTCAACTAGTGAACAAATAGCAAAACACTTTAAATATAAAGGATAAAGCAACTCAAACAGGCTTTTTTGATAGGGTTTGGAAACCAACATGACGTGGCAGATTGTGATTCGCCCTTTTTTTAAAAAAAGCTCCACCTTCCAATGAAAAATTCTCTGTCAGTATTCCCTGTTTTTCTAGCATTGTTCAAATATAAAAGCATCCAAATGACCGAAGTTCAGTTTTTGTTGCTAAGGGTGGGCAAAAAATCTCCCAACCCGCTCAAACTGTCCAAACCGACATGTTTGGGTTGGTTTTTTCAATTTTGTTGGATGGGTTCGGTTTTTTTAAATCATGGTGGGTCGGGTCACAGGTTGATCCACAAAAACCTCCCAAACTCGCCCTACCCGACCCGCCAAGGAAAAAAAAAAAAAGAAACGTGGGTTGAATACTTAAATTATTTACGCACTTAAACCAATGTCCCAATCTCCGAGAGATCCATAGTCTAGAAAATTCAAAATCAAAGCTCTCAAGTCTCAACCCAAAACAAACCCTAGAAAATCTCTCCTCCCCGTCGTCGACGACGCTGGTGCCTGCCGCCTAGTAAGGTGGAATGCAGTTATTTTCTTCAACTGGTGAGTTTGTGATTGACTTCTATTTTACTATTTTGTGTTGGTACTAATGTAAAGAAACTGCAAAATTTAGGAATATAGCCAAAGGTGTTGCATACCAGTAAAGTACTACAGAGAAGTGTTTAGTAGGTAAACAATATATTTAGCTACCCAATAATTTTTCTTTTTCATTCACTTTATCAAGAAGATAGATACCCATTTCGGATAGAATTTATACAGAACTAGAGACTGGAAGCATGTTAAGATTCGGATGTTTCTATAAATTCTATAAATTGTTGGGAAGCGTGTTAAGACATAATTGTTTCTATAACACTAAAATTTTGAGAAGATTAGTACTCATTAAATGAAGTGTAAATTAGTTTTTCTTGTTTATTGTAATATAGTGGGAGAATGTAGAGTTCACTTAATTAGTACTGATCTTTTCATTTAAACACTCCAAAATTTTTCTTTTTGTTGTTGAATTTGGAAATTTGGAACCCAAGGAATTTTTGGAGTGTTAAGGATTCTGCTTTATATGAATCTTTTGGCAGGGAAAGGAAAACTACTTTTAGAGCATGCTATAACAGAACATAAGTTATCCTTAAGCAGATGGACTCAGGTTTAGTGTATTCTTCCTTTCTTGTAGACTATAGTGCTTTAATATTTGTAATGTAATGTATGTATTT